ATCTGAGAGACCGTCATACGTCGGTAGGCGGAGCTTCTCCATCGGCTTAAGCCTGGCGTCAGTGATCTTGCTAGTGAAGGGTGTCCGGAGAGTGTCTGCGAGCTTGTGGATGTCGTGATCCAGGAAAACGCTTTCGATGAGCGGAGCAGAAGTCGTGACCCTGTGAATCTTTGAGTTTACTTCGAGGATGGCTTGCTTGAGAGCAGCAATTTCTTGGATAGTTTGCAGATCTGAGCGGTTTCCCGGTTGCGCAGAATCATCCGGGACTTTGGTTGGCACGATGGACTGGTTAGCCGGAGTAGGGGTAGGGTTTGTGTTGAACAAGAATCGTCGTGCCGTCGAAAGGTTTCCTCCGGTACCGTCTAGGTTTGCGAGTATGGCGGTGATAGCCGCGAGGTGTTCGTTCGTCGTCTTTTGGGCTTCGTCTTGACGAGCTAAACGTTCCATGATGGTATCGATAAGGGTCGGAGCGAGTGGTACGGTGGTATCCGGAGTAGGTGCTACCGGGTCGACTTCCTCACCGGAAGTCGACTCGTTAGTCGGAATCATAGCTTTGTTGACGCTACTTTGTTATGCCCCACAGTGGGCGCCAACTGTTCGACCCGAGTACGGTCTTTATCAGTGAGAATGGTGACGGAACTCGTCAATGGGTTATGACAAAGGCGGTTATGCTATAAGTAAGGAAAGAGTAGTTTTATTAGTGAAATAGTTCGGTTTACAAATAAGGAAACAAGAGGCAAGATGGCGTAGCTCGGAGAGCTCAGAAGTGTCGTACAAGTTGGAAGGAAATACAAGAGTGAAAACCCTAATTCTAGCCGCTTTGTGTGTGGAAGTGATTTCGGATCCCCTACTTGTTTCCTTCTCTCCTTCTTTTATAGTGGCACTTCCTTGACCTAGCGAGCTGGTCGCGTGTACGGAGGGCCTTTCGGCAAATGGGCCTTGGTCGGCTCGCTAAGGTAAACGCCTCACCTAAGCGTCTTTAATTCGGTTAATCATGGAGATTATCTGAGTTAAGCCTGATTAGTCGTTAATCAACAGTGTTACCTCGCTAGCTGGCTTTAGTTGTATCTGACAAAAACTGAAAAATGTTCATTCCATACAACTTCCAAAGTTATCTTTCATGACAAACCCTATAATTTATTTTGGTTTTATCATTATAATTTAATAATATGTCATTGAAATAACCAATTTATTTGATAAAAGAATAGCCAGTTTTTAATTTCATAACATCTAAAAATCTCAGAAATTATGAATTGATAAATAATGTTTCTCCCTTTGTTTCATATTAAGTGATATTTTGCATCAAAACATTTATTTTAAAAATTATTTTTTACAAGATTGATAATATGATTTTAATTTTAAATAAAATTAGTAAAATTATAATTAGTTATACAGATTATAATAAAGATAAAGTTACTTAAATACGAAAAAAACTTATAATATACCACAATCACAATCCCCTAAAACATCATTTATATTGGAACAAATAAAATATTTATTAGTTATAAGATTCAAAAATAGTTATATCGTACCAACAAACAGAAATATCATCATCTATATTAGTAAAATAGAATTTCTACTTGGATTATACCCTTGGTTTGAAATGAAACTAAAACCTCATACCACTGCTTTGTTATTAATACAAATAATAAATAGTTAAATCAGCCGTAATTCATAATTCAAGACATGGATTAATTAGAAGGGAATCAAACGAATAAAGTAAGTTGGAATATGAAACAAACGAATATAAGTTTGGAAGTTGTATGGAATGAACTTTTTTCAGTTTTTGTCAGATACAACTAAAGCCAGCTATGTCACCACCGAGGCTCCCAAAATTCTATAGGATGAAAATGAACCTACATGTTTTTTTTTTTTAAATGACTTTTTTATTAACTTACCAAACCAAAGTCTTACAAAACTTGTGTCCCTGCGGGATTATAGCTAAATATTGTCATTGAGCTGGAGTAAAGAGGGTTAATATTTTCATGTTTGTGTTGACCATGTTATGATTATAAAAATAAAGTAGCATTCATTTTTCTGATGTTGTAGTTAACACAAAATGTAAAATTCTTCAAATGTCACGGAACCAGAATTTTTTTCTAACGGGGTCAATAGTATAAACTATATTATATAAAAATTACAAAGAAAATTTACCATAAATTTTAAATATTGTATCATTATTTATTTTTGAAACCTTATAAAACATTTTTATTTTCTTGTAAAACATTTTATAGCAAGGAAACAATTAATTTTAAAAAATTAATAAGAAAAACTATTACAATTATAATATATTATTCATAATTTCATTTAAATTAAACAACAACAAATGTTACACACAGATAACTATATGCACATATATAAAATAACATTACCAAGAAACATTCAATTCAAAATGTGTAAATAAATACCACTTTTTAAAAAGCTCATTGAAAAACACAATTTAGACAAGCGAAAATTAGAAGGACGCATATGAAAGAAAGAATAATGATTTTAGTAATTTAGACGAAAAGTGCTGTGCATTTATCTTTTGCTGAAAATTTATTAAAGGATATTCACAAATATTTTTTTATTACTATTTCAACCAGTTATTTAAATATATAAGTTGGTAACAAAATATAGACTATTATGCAAGTTGAGTCAAAAAGCTCAACCCTTGAAATTTAATATACTACATTATCATTTTTTATTAAACAAAAAAACATATTCATTTTCTCAAACTCAATGTCTTTGTTATAAATTTATATTTTGATCTATTTCGTGCATATAATTTGGTTCATATTGCATAGTATTTGAGAACTTGAAAAAAAAAAAAATTAAGATCACAATTTTTTTTTAAAATGGTTAAACAATAAATAACAACTTCAGTTAAATATGTATATGTTTTTTGACATAAGTTCATAACAAAATATGTCTACTAAGATGATTTTGTTGTTTGTTACTAAAAGTGACGCTCTTTGACAATAAGTGTTTTAAGAACCAGAACCGTCTGGTTTGATCATGACTTTCTCTTCTAAACAATTTTGAGTTTTGCTAAAAACCAACAAATTCGGTTTAAGAACCAGTTACTCACTAAAACTGATGGTCCAGTATGATATTAAACCATGGTTTTTTCAAATTCAAATTAAAAAAATGCAAATTAAAAAAACTTTCACAAAACCTGTATTAATTTTAGTATCTATTTAAATAAGTTATTTTTCATTATATTTATATTATTTTTGAAGTTTTCATATTATTTCTATATCATTTTAGCTTCAAACAATGATACAAAGTCTTAAAAATAATTTTATAGTTATACATATATATAGACACTTAAATTAAAATTAAATTAAATTAACAACACAATTGGACCGGTGTGGCCATTGACCTAACTGCAATGTCAAATTAATTTTTGGTTTGGTATTCAAAACATTGATGGCAAGGATAAATTAATATCATTTAGTTTATAAACAGATATAATAAATAAACATTATTCATAACAATAAAATATATACAATCTTAAATTTATATAATAGCTTTTTAAATTAAAATAAAAGTCAATTCATTTTATATACTTAATTCCAGATTTTGATCGTGATTATTTTCTACCAACATTTTGAAGATAGAAAATATAAAACTACATATTAATATATTACAGTAATTATGATGTAAGTTATTTATGCCAAAAATAAAATGAAGGTTCTGTTAAAAAAACTAAAATAATATTTATACTTTGTAAAAAAAAAATAGTTCACTATCAGTATTTTTTTATGAAACTCTTACTTGCATTACTTATAATGATTTTGTCAATCATTATCTTTTTCTATTTAATTTAATATTTTATTACTTCTTTTTTTAATTATAAATTTAATTATACAATATATTATATATATAAACATATAATTGGAAATTTTGTTTACGAGACTAGCCGCGCGTAGAGCGACCAAAAGATCTAGTTATTCATAAGATTAACTCTAAGTTGATTTTCAGTTAATTTTTATTGTTATATTTTTTTCACAGAAATCAAGGCCTGACAATAAATCTAATCTTGGAAAAAAGGCTTGACACTAAATTATTTTTGTGCTATTATAAAATGTTTTTGGCTTTGCAGGTGACACTAGTAAAAGTTAAGTTTTAACACTGTAGATTTTTTTCAATGTCGAGATGAGGAGGAGTGTAGCATATCTTCTTTTTCCTCTCTGCGCATAGGAACCATTCTTAGTGCCATCCTCCCCGCTGGCTGTATGAGAATTTCTCTCCTCAGCTTGAAAATTTGAAACCGAACCAAACCAAAAAATAAGAGAATGAGTATCAATGAAACGAGTATGTGGGCTTTAAGAATACGGAGGATGTGTTGGGCCGAAAGTTGAGAAGTCCAGTACAATAAGAGTTTTTGTTTTTCTTGTTGAAGAAGCTGCTTGTCCAGTCCTTTTATACAACAGAGGAAGAAATCTAAGCGAAATCAAGGAATCGAGAGAACCCAAAAGAAGAGCGAGAGGAAAGTTTTGTTCAGGTAACTTTCTCGCTAATCGAATCCGTTACTCATCTTTCTCCTCAGCATCTTCGAAATCTAATTCATTAGTTCCGTCTCTATGGATTTGTTTGCGGGATCAGTTTTCCTCAGAAGTGACTAAAATCTGGATAATTCGTTAAGATTTTTTCGCATAAACCCTAGCTTGACGGTATTCTCTGGTTGATTTGATTTATCACTAGTTCCATACTATGTATTAGTGAATCTGTGTCTGAGAAAGTGAGAGTTCAACGAAAATTTTCGTTTAGGCTTTTTTTATTTTATTTTTTGTGAGTTAAAAGAGATTGTAAGACAGTTTATACGCCTTTGAGGAGAATCAATTGTGTAGAACATTGACTTATGCCTCCTCTTATGGAAGCATAAGCTTAGAATGAGTAAAGTTTGATACTTTCATGGGACATAGTTTGTTGGGGGGGGGGGGGGGTTAAAGAATCTGNACAGTCGCACCACCATCTTCTCACCGGAAGGTCGTCTCTACCAAGTTGAGTACGCTATGGAAGCCATTGGCAACGCTGGTTCCGCTATTGGAATCTTGGCCAAAGACGGAGTGGTCTTGATTGGCGAGAAGAAAGTCACCTCTAAGCTTCTTCAAACCTCCACATCCGCTGAGAAAATGTACAAGATTGATGACCATGTGGCCTGTGCTGTGGCTGGTATCATGTCTGATGCCAACATTCTGATCAACACCGCTCGTGTCCAAGCTCAGCGTTACACCTTCATGTACCAAGAGCCTATGCCTGTTGAGCAGCTGGTTCAGTCTTTGTGTGACACCAAGCAAGGGTACACACAGTTTGGTGGTCTTCGTCCCTTTGGCGTTTCCTTTCTTTTTGCAGGATGGGACAAGAACCATGGGTTTCAACTGTATATGAGTGACCCCAGTGGGAACTACAGTGGATGGAAAGCTGCAGCTGTTGGTGCCAATAACCAAGCTGCTCAGTCTATTCTTAAGCAAGACTATAAGGATGATGCATCTAGGGAAGAGGTGGTTGAGCTCGCTCTCAAGGTTTTGAGCAAGACGATGGACACCACAACCTTGACATCTGAGAAGCTCGAGCTTTCTGAGGTGTTTCTGACTCCATCAGGGAGTGTTAAGTACCATGTTCACTCCCCTGACTCGCTTACTAAGCTTTTGGTGAAGCATGGTGTGACGCAACCAACTGCAGAAACTTCCTAAGCTCGAAGCCATCCCCGACTTGTAAGGTGATCGACATTCTGTGTTGTGGTTTACCATTTGTTTGCTTTTACTTTGGATTTGAGGATACTGTCTTATAATCAGTTATTACTTTGGTTATGTCATGATACATGTGGTTGACGTTAGGGGTTCATTTATATGTTGCTATGAATCGAATCTGAACTTTGTTTTTTTGCAATCTTGTTTTGTCTTTATTTTCTCCACAAATCAGTTCACACCAATATAAGAAATGCATATCAAGAAATCCTATACAAATGTCCACTATAAGCGATCATAGATGTACATATCTTCACATCAATGTATCAGATTGTGATATTATGGTGATACTTGTTCGATATTATTTCTTCTGGAATAAAGTTTGCTCAATAAAAGAACATAGGACCAATCATTAACCAATGGGCCCATTATAAAGCCCACAATTAATAACGGGTTATTACTCGTTCCAAGTGTTCAATAGCTAAACTTAATGAGAATCAGATTCAACTTTTTAAGCTTCACACCACGTTTGATTGAAGAGTGTTTTTTGTTTATCAACGGCGAAAATATTACCGCTCAAAGCGTAGTCTTGAGCGCCAAATAGATTTTCAGCGCTAGAATGTCAGAATCAACATTATTTTGGGGTTAATTGTACGACCAAGTAAATGACGATAGTGCCATTTTGTCGCATGTGAACTCCTAAACGACGTTTGACCAACCAGCTCATTTGATAAATTTACCAAAAAGTTTTTTTTTTTTCTTATAATCAAACATGTCTTAGGTTTATGATTTACTAGGGCCAGTCCGCGCTACGCGCGGAATTTGGTGTTCCGATTATTTAAATTATATAATTGTTGTAAAATTGTTTTCTATATTGAGTTGGTTGTGAGTGAAAGTATGTGAAATGATTAGGTTTGTCAATACCACATCCCAAATAAATAAGCTTAAGTAATATGAGGGTATTCTCAAATTGTGCATTATTGTATATTGTTATAATACTCATAAATCTTCAATATATTTTAAACTTGAGCATTGTAAGTGAAACTAATTGGGATCATCAATTGTGTATGAGAATTTTTTTAATTTCTTTTTAATGGTTTTCGTTCTTTTGATTGAGGGTATTTAATATAGGGAGAGTAAGGTGCTTGAAATTGCAGTATTATTTGTTTTTAACATTTGCTTTTTTTTTTTATTTATGTCATATATTTGAAGATTACCAGTTTAAAAGCAGAGGATGGAAACACTTAGGACATGAATCTGATGTTACAATATACTTTCATAGTATTTTTGAAAATAAAATATTTAACAAAGATATGTAAAAATCTTAATTATGTTCAACTTGTGATTTTTTTTTAAAAAAGATATATCTATGTAAATATAGTAGTCTTTTCTTGTTTAACGATCTATCATATGTTTTAAAAAATGTTTATCAAAGTTATATAAATATAATAATTATGTTCAACTTGTGGATCTTTGTTTTAAAAAATTAAATTAATTATGTCTATATAAATATAGTAGTCTTTTCTTGTTTAAGAGTTTTTTTCCTCCAAAATATGCATTTATCTGAAATAAAGATTAATTCTGATCTAATCGTTTTTATCATAATTATTTATTTTTGATCAAAATAATTGTTAAATTAACAACTGACTAAAGCTTTATTGAATATTCAATTCGTTCTTTTGTTTGTTTTTAAATAACTTAAGGAAATGGTGGATGAGGAGTATCTCAAAACAGAAATTGATATACGAACATCTGCATGATAGACTATCTCTACAAATTTGTGCGCTTGATTCATCCATGAGTGGTTTTTAGAAGTAGTCCCGGCAGGAAGCTCAGAAGATACACAATCAGTCAGAAACTTAGCGATGAGTTCATTACCAATGTCAGACCGAGGTCTTCTCATCATAATGAAGGTAGTAGTAGTAGTAGTGGTGGTGGTGGCAGAAGAAGAGGGATTCACATCAGAACCCTGCTTATCATCTTCTTTAGAAACCCCAAACGACTTTATTGCAAGTGAAGAGAAGTTTGGTTAGAACGCAATCTCAGCAGAAGATGCGGTAAGATTTCAAAAAACTTTTCAAGAACGGTACATACCACCACCTTCCTCCCAAATGATTTTCAGTTAACCTATTTAACAGAACTATACATTATACATCAATAAAGAATGAACATAGTTAAGTTATTATCTTTTGTTTCGGTGGTTTTAGGTCTCCTCTCCCCAATCTGGAACAGAAGCAAGCAGGTGTCAAGTTGGAGCATTTGAATGATAATAACTAAGCGGTAATAGGGTAACAATCAAGAAAACACATGTTAGGCGTCATGGACCAAGTCAGTTCATGATATAGAGCTCTATAAGCAATCCTTGAACCATTTGGTGCATATTTTTCATATTTCCTTGTATTATTTGCTTTATTTAGCTGATAAATCAAATACCAAGAAACTTAACCACAGCGATGAATTTGTTCTTGGCTGAAGATGAAAGAAAGCACACCGTTTGCTATTATATGTTAACAAATACTAAAATAATCTGAAGTGTAAGAACTAAGAACTAAGAACTAAGATGTTAATCTATTTTAAAATTAAGGATACTACTACAAACAATTGAGGTTAACTGTTAATTAATCTTGTTTCTAGGGGAAATAAAAATAAGAAAGTAAGCAAAGATTGAGAAGAGAAGATACATACGCCGATACGTTTGGCTGTATGTCGTGCTGCTTTTTTATTCTCTTCCTCAGCCTCAGCAGCTTAGGCTTTGCTCCAACAACCAGCCCGTGGAGAACCACACGTACTTTGAATCTGCAAGAAGAACAATAAAGCTTTTCTTGGTGGAGTAAGGAAATCAAATTCTTGCCAGGAAACGTATATGACCCTCACGGATGCCAAGGTCAGTATATGTAGTAATCTTTAAAAAAAAGATGATTAACATTCACAACACTAAGAACTATGACCATCATACACACGGATAAGAAAGAAATAACACACCTGTCGACCATTCGTCTCAACTTCTTGCCACAGTATGACATTCTTGTAATCTCTTTATTCAGCTAAAAGCTTTTCTCTTGTCTTCATTTTTGTTCATATCCTACACGTTATAGACAATATTTGTCTAGAGTAAAATTTTCCTTGAGCATCCAAAAGTTTCTAGAGTACTTAGTTTAGTGCTAACCTGTTTCGATGAGTGTTGTTTCAGAAGACCATCATGACGTCCCTTCCATTCGTCATCAGCTTTTGCTGTCATAACATAGAAAACAAAATCAAGTTGAAGACAATCTTTCTCTTCCTCTTTTATTACAAAAACAAAACAAAACAACATATTTCATTGATTTACCAGCTGAAACTCATCCATGGAGATGGGATTCTTATGCAGAGATAGAGTTTGCAGACTCTTGCAATCTTTCGGCAATCCATCTGATATCTGCAAAAAGACCAGTAAATGTTAAGAGTTTCAAGAAACAAATCACGTTTCAACTGCTCTATCTACCTGTTTTACATGATTATCATCTAAGCAAATCGACTTTAACTGAATCCGATTGCAGAGTGATGCTCGGAGCTCTTCCTCAACGTTATCTGCAAGGCTATCTGGATTCAGGATTAGGTTTTGGACACAAGGCCAAGTCAACAGCAAAATGATTTCAACGAATTGGCTTCGTTCCAAGTCCCATCAGCCTACAAAACTCAATCAAATAACCAACACATATCAGACTCAATCTAAGGCCAATACTGAAATTGCAACAGGATCTGAAGATCTCGGTGCCAAACCGGTACGTTTGATTCCGGGAAGGTTCTTGACGTCGGTGGTGGTAGGTAGCTGACCGCCGGGAGTGATGTCGTTGGCAATCCATCCTTCAAAGAGGAGAAGCTTGAGCTCCGCCATGGCCGCGTAGGAATCGGAGAATGGGAAGGGGCGCCTCACAGAAAAAAAGAATTAGGTTTCGCAGAATGAATTATTCGCCTTCTCTGAGCTTTACCATTTATCGAATAAGATGTCGACACGTGTCATGACGAAAAGGAAATTTGTCCTACGTGGACTTTCTTACGTGTCATCCGACGTGGCGAACCTTAGAGAGAATGAAACTTTACTTTATATAATAGATATTATACATTTGAAATGATTTTTATTGTCTAACTACTCAACCCATTACCTAATTTTCTCTCTCCTCCTTTAAAGTCTCCTAAGTCCGACATCTTTTAAGTGTAGTGTCTTCCAGATCTTCTCTCACCGGCGTGTGGTGGCTCCATCTCCTTGTTGGATTTCTTCTTCTTTTGTAGTTTATGTGGTCTTCTGCTGTGGGGTTACTGTTCAAGTGGAGGTCCGTTTGTCAAAGTTTTGATTTTGAATGGTTATGGTGGTGTCCAAAGGCGACTCGAAGCGATGGTCCTCACTAGATCTGGGATTTTGTTCCTCCTTTGCTTCAGAGAATCGTGAAAGATGAAAGACTCTGTCTCCGATGTGGCTTTGCGGTGGCTCTAGGCTGGCTGGTATGGTCTATCTACAATGAAAAAACATGGTTTATGTTAGCCTGAAGTGTCTCTTGTATGTGGCCTCCATAAGTGGTTGTTTCTTTACGGTATAGTTGTGGTCTAGGGTTGGTAGGGTATATCTCCGGTTTAGTTGTTGTCTAAGGTGTGTCCTTCTGTTGGCTTGGTTTGTGGCCCTGTTGTTTAGCTTTGTTTGGGTTAGAGTTGGTCTGTTCTTGTGTTGAAGCCTTAGTAGAGTAGTAGGAACCTTTCTTACGAGTTATTAGATGGTAATAATTTGTTGTCTGGGATTGGTGTGTATCGTGCTTGTTTGGTTTAGTAGTCTCGATGTTGATATGCTCTTTGTACTCCTGCTAATTCTTGTCTGTTCGAGTAGTTAACCTTTCCTATTAGTCAAGGTCTTGTAGTTGGGGTTCGACTTTTGGATGGTACACTGTTGTGGAGCCATCTACTTGCTTATGCTCTGTGATTAGTTTGCGGAGTGAAGTATTAAGACGAAGCAGTGGTTTCGATTTTCAGCTCATCTCTTGCAAGGACATGACCATCTTTTTGCTTGTAGATGGTGAAATATGGGTACACGAGGGTCCGCGTGTATGATCTGCTGATCCTTTTAGTTTTTGTCCCCTCTTCGTGTTTCAAGGTTCGACCTTGTGCCTTGGTCTTTCTTGGTTGCTGGCGGCTCGTTGTAGGTGTGGTGTTAGTGGTTTTTGGTTCCATGTCTGCTTCAGTATGGCGTTGCTTTCTGCCGGGTTTGGTTCATGTGAGATTGTGGTTCGGCCTATGTTGCTTTGTGGTCTTCTCAAGTCTCTGTTATGTTCTTCTGGTCTCAGCCCGTGCTCATTTAGGTTCTTTGGAAACTCTCACTGGTCTGTCGGCTGTGTAGAGCTTGGAATTTTTCAGTCGAATGATGAGAATCTCTTGCCTTTTCCTTAGTTATCGTTCTTCATTGTTGTGCTTAAGTCCTTTTGGCTTTGTTTTTTAGTCGGTGTGATTTTTTGAGGTTTGACTAAAATCTCAAAAGGCTGTCCAGTCAAAGGAGGGAAGTGTGGTTTCTTATCAAAGTCTATAATAATTGTACTTTTAACTTTCGTTTAGTGCAATTCATAGATGACAAAAGAAAAAACTACCCAATCCCAAATACTAATTACTTCATGTAATGGGGCCGTATTACCTTAATGAAGGTTTTAATAGCATGTGATTTAACTCAACCAATTTAAGATCATATCTTCATCTGACCCCAAAAATATTTAAGTAAGAAAAACAAGAGATTCATCCAAATTAGAAGACTTAAAAAAAACTAAAAGTTCATGCATAATTATAAAGATTCAAGAGTATGATACGTTTTTGATACACCAAGCGAACAGAAACATAGGTTTTCTAGAGACTAGAATCAGCAGAATTACAAGAATTCTCTGGAGCTAAAATAAAATATAAACAATTGACTAGAGCAAGATAGATAAACAATTCAAGAACAAAACCATAAACACTTTATCGAATGAAACCCTGAGGAATGAAAAAGGATTGAGAGAGACACTGAAAGCCAAATTTTATTTGGGGAAGAGAAATGAGACCACACCTCACTGCTCAAGAAACACATCAAATGCCACGAGGTAGACAGCAGGGAACTGATCCCATAGAGAAGAAGAGACACACCATTAAACTTCAAACATCCACGGCACATAGATAAGGGTCAAGACCCTTTTTTCTTGAAAAAAAAGCTGGAGAAACCAAATCGAATCACAAGAATAACCAAACACCAACATAATGATCTATTTCATTGCTAACAAGATCAAGGAAGAGCATACCCAACAAACCTCAACGAAACCACCACCAAAAATGACGAGGGAAACACTTGCAGACGGAGAGCGATGCCCAACAACAGAAAGGAATCAAGACTCCAAAGACCCACCAACAGAACCCTAGAAGTTGAAGCAGAGCCGGAGAGAAGAACCATGCCACATAGACAAGTCCTAACCGGAACCATACAACTGATCCTCCAAATCTGAAATTCTAGATCTATAACTGTTCTCTAAAGATTATCTAGTTAATCGAAGGACTACACATGAGAAATATCCAGGCAGGACCGACAATGGCAAGGAAGCCAAACCGCCGTCCGGGGACAAATAGTCTAATCAGAGGTCTAGAGAGAAGGCATATAGACTTTCCTAGAGAGAGAAACTTTTTCGGGTGAAATTAGAAGAATATATTGAACCTTTATTTGACTAAACATGAGAAATATCCAGGCCGAAAGTCGAATAATGCTATTCATGTGGATTGATCAACTAGCGACAGTTAAGCAGAGTTAATTTACGTGAGAGGTAAAGATTCAAGTCACCCGACCAAATATACAATTATAAATTTTATACCGAAAGAAAATCAATCTCTAGTATGTACCAATATCAACTTTTCGTCCAACAAAAACTACTAAACGGTTTAAAAATGGCTAAATGATGGAAAATAACTCAGGCCTGAAGATTTGAATGTTCACAAAAAGGAAATGGCCGAATAATCATACGTCTTGCAATATTTAAATGAAAAATTAATTATATTGAACATTGTCATCCTTTGTTTCTCATTAAATTTTAATTATTATTCTCGATTATTATTTTTCTATTATGAATAAAATATTAGAAATAACATAAAATAGAGAAAATTGGAAAATGGGATTGTGAAGAATACAATTAGAAAACAATGAATAAGGTATATAAAAGGAAAAACATTTGAGAAAAACTTAGGTTGTATTATTCAATCATTTATTTAAGTAGAGTTTAAATTTAAGCAAAATCTACCGTTATTCGAATGATGATTCTAGTTTCTATTTTAATTTATTGTTATTAGATATGATATTTAAAAAATCTTATTTTAAAATCCATTGTTATTCAACTTTAAAGGGTTTTATTTTTTTGTATTTAGAACTAATTTCAAATCATTTACTACGGAGCCTCATGAACAAATGAACAAAATCAAAATTCAAGACACACTGCAGAGCTTCCAGATTAAAATATTGACAACTGATTTTACATCATTGATTCAATAACACCCCTTTGGTCGTGGTTTTATTGATTTACATATTTGTGTAGACGACTGGTAACTAATAATAATAAATCCTATGTTTATATCATACAAAAAAAACATGTATATATCACATATTCTAGGAAGAAAATTTGTTTTAGGAGGTGTTATTAAATCATGTTAGTAGAGTTTAAATTTAAGAATAATCTACCGATTGATGATTCTAATTCTATTTTAAAATCTAGTGTTATTAAATATGATATTTATAATTCTTATATAAAATCTTTGTATTATTCAATGGATGATTTAAATTCTGTTTTTAAATTTCATTGTTATTCAATTTGAAAAGATTTGTAAATTCTTTCTATTTAAAACTGATTTTAAATTATTGGTTATAGGTTCCAGTGAAGAAATAATTAAAATCAAAATCCTAGTATACTGGAGAGATTTTAAAATTCACCAACTAAAACTATCTTAAATTTTTAAAATTTAAAATTTAATTGATTACAAAACATTAAAAGTTGACTTTAAAACCTTGATAGAATAACACCCCCTTAATATTCTAGGTAAAAAAGATATTAACAAAAAAATCATGTTTTATAAATTTGCAAAGATAAGTTACAAAGATAAAAACATTGAACCCTATTTTTCCCTTACAAGTAAATAATCCCTTGTTGCCATTTTGGTTACCAAAATTTCAAATTTACCATTTCGGTAACTTTAAACAGCAATTTCATATATAATCCCTTTTTTTTTTTTTTTTCAGTCAAAAAAAAAAATTTCATATATATATATATATATATATATATCGATTAATCGCGGTTAAAAAGTAAACATAATGAATTCCAGTAAAAATAAATAATACACAAAAAAAGTATTTAACACGACGGACGCCTTCTTCTTTCCGAAAAAAAAACACAACGGAGAGAGAGAGAGAACACAACGATACAGAAGAGAAGCGAAGGTCGCAAAGAGAGACGAAAACACGCGGCGGCGTTGATTTCCCGGCGAAAGGGGAACAAACAGATTGAGATTCAGCGAAAGCGTTCTAGGGTTTCCTTCTCGATTCGCCTTCTTTGACCTCTCGATCTATTCTCTTCATTCTTCTCACCTTCATCCATCATCCCTCCCATCTCCATTCTAGGGTTTCTTGATCCGTCTTGCTACGTTCCTTACCCTCTCGGTAAACTTCAATTCGTCTTCTCGCGTCTCTCCGTCTTTATCTAATTTCATCAAATCGGTCCTGTAGGGTTTTGAGATTCTCGCCCTTCCCCTTGGTCTACATTCGGTTTTGTTGCTGATTGCTTTCTGGGTGTTTGCAGGTTGTTGAGTGCGACGAACTTTGGCGGAGGATGAGCCCCGGAGGAGGGGAGGCTTAAGGAATCAGCTTTTGGGTAGAGGAAAAATTGTGGAGGGGTTTCCATGAGCGATGGGGGTGTCGCATGCATGCCTCTACTGAATATCATGGAGAAGCTTCCAACTGTGGAGAAGACGCTTTGTGGAGGCAACAATGATCTCAAGATTGCTGCTACTTCGGAGAATGGTCTTACATCAATCTCAACTACTAATGATAAGCTCACGGAGTCTCAGTCAGCAGCTACCTCTCAACCAGCTAAGAAGAAGAAGAAAATTGTTAAGAAGGTAATTCGTAAAGTTCTCGTGAGAAAGCCTAAGCAGCCTCAGAAACAAGAAGAGGAGAAGCCAAAAGACAAGATTTTGCAACTCCCTGGAGAATCACAGGTCCAGACGAAAGAGCAGGAGAAGAAGAAGAGTGTGCCTGTGCAGAGGAAAGAAGGAGATACTAGTAATGGACAACTCGAAAACTCTGGAGATTCTGGGCTTAAAGATGAAGTGGAAGAGGGTGAGTTAGGTACAATGAATTCTCATGGGGTTTTGGAGAACGGTGAAATTTCTCCAGTGAAGTCATTGCAGAGTTGTGAGATCGAAAAGGGCGAGATTTCTGGGGAGAGTTGGAAGAAAAATGAGACTGGGAAGGCGAAGTTCAGTTACATGCAGTATGATGATAAAGGGCACGTCGAGAGAGGGGATTTACCTTCAGATAAGTACAGGAAAGGGGAAGAGAGAGACGTCAGGTCATGGAGAGATCCCAATGATGAAATTGAGAAGGGGGAGTTCATCCCAGACAGATGGCCTAAAATGGATACAGTAAAGGATGATCATAGTTACAACCGGTCTCGTAGGTATGGATCAGACAGAGAGAAAACGTGGAGATACGAGTATGATTATGAACATGAACGTACCCCGCCTGGTGGAAGGTTTGTTAATGAGGATTTCTATCGCCGGAGAGAATTCCGAAGTGGGAATGACAGGGCTACGAGGATCAGTTCTAAAATTGTAATAGAAGATCATTTGCATAAGGACGAATACAACGATCCCAATAGTCTTGGGAAAGAGTATTCTTCTACTGTGAACAAGTTGAAGCGACATGGAGCTGAACCGGATAGCTTTGAGCGCAAACACTCTTATGATGATTATGGAGATTATGGGAGCTCCAAATATAGAAAAATTTCTGATGATTATTCCCGCTCTCTTCACTCAGACCACTATTCACGTCACTCTGTTGAGAGACTGTACAAAGATTCATATTCATCAAAAACTTCACCTCTGGAAAAATATTCTAGAAAGCACCAAGACTCATCTTTCCCTGCAAGGTCTTTTTCAGACAGACATGGAAACAGCCCTGCACGATCTGACCTTTCCCCACATGACCGGTCTAGGTACCATGAACACAGGGATAGAAGTCCACTCCTTCGGGAGAGGTCGCCATATGCCCGGGAGAGATCGCCGTACATATTTGAGAAGTCTTCACATGCTCGTAAAAGGTCTCCACATGACCGCAGCAATCACCATGATTATAGAAGAAGTCCAAGTTACTCTGAGTGGTCTAGTGATCGTAGGGATGGTACTTCTAACTATAGGGAAGATCCCCAGAGCGATCGTAACAGACGTAATGGCCACAGAGAAATAAGCAGAAAAAGTGGAGTAAGGGAGAGGAGGGATTCTCAGACTGGCATGGAGCTCGAGCATAAGTACAGACATAGAGATTCTAATGGAAAAGAGTCGACTTCATCAAGCAGAGCATTGCAAGGTAAAAACATTTTGTACAACAACGATCCGGTGGTTGAAAAAAATTCTATTTGCGATGATTCATCCAAGCTCCCAAGTCCGTGTGCAAAGGGAAGCGAGTCTGTGCAAGTTGCTGAAGCTCCTACCGAAGAGTTGCCATCAATGGAGGTAGATATGGACATTTGTGATACACCACCTCATGAGCCTGCAAAGGGAAAAGAGTCTGTGGCGGCTGATTCATTTTTGGGGAAGTGGTTTTATCTTGATTACTATGGCATGGAAAATGGGCCTGCAAAGTTATCCGAGCTTAAAGCTCTTATGGAGCAAGGTTTTCTTTTCCCTGACCATATGATTAGACATTCAGATAACAATAGGTGGGTCACTATTGAAAATGCAACATCTCCTAGGGTCAGCATAAATTTTCCATCGGTCGTGTCAGATGCAGTGACACGGCTCGTCAATCCTCCTGAAGCGCCTGGTAATTTATTAGAAGACCTTGTAGATGCTGCCGAAGCAGTTCCTAAGGACCAAGAAGCTGGACATTCCTTACCTGAATCAATGTCTATACCAGATACTAAGGAAATTTTAGTAGGACATCATGAAGATTTTCAGTTTGATAGAAGGATCGCTAGTCTCGTAGAGGGTTGTACTATCACCCCTGGCAGGGAACTTGAAACACTTGGAGGTACTGTAAAAAAGTGTCCTATATTATTTTCCGGCCACAGATTTGATGCCTTCTAGCAAATATCTGGAGCGTTTTTCTTTATACATTTAATTTGCATTTGGAGCTTTTATGCCATACCTAAGATAGGCTTATTTTATCACTTTGCAGAAGCTATGCAGATTAAAGTTGAGCTTGAAGAGACGAGAAGATCTCTGAGTCCTGAAGGTATGTTTTGTTGGCACCACTAGCACTTTTGCATGATGTACATTTTTTCTACTTGCTTTGTTCCTTTCTGGCAGTTATATTCCTAACTTTGCCTACTTCTAGAAGAAAACAGAACGATACAAGTGTTTATATACTTATGTTAGATATGTTGTACGGCCAGTTATTTCTAAATTAGTTGGTTTGTACTATTTGGAGGTGTTGTATGTTTGTTAAATTTGTAATAGCCGCCTACTGCCATATGATTGTTTGTGCATGAACATGGAGATTCATTTAGACGACATCAAGTTTGAATAATCATATCTTCTTGTTTTAGCTGCATGTTTTACATGACAGTATTTAGAAGTTATACTCTGGTATTTGCAGATATCACGTGGTGCTATTATCAAGTGGTAGATCAGTTGCTAGGGAATGAGTCGTCCGGGCGTTCGGAGCCCAAGACAGGGGATATCCAAGAATCGAAGTCAGAAAATGTTGATGGTTCTGAGAGCGATGAGTTAGGCAGCTGGTTTTCAGGTCGTTGGTCTTGCAAAGGAGGGGACTGGATACGATGCGAAGAAACTTCTCAAGACACATATTACAAAAAGAAATTGGTTCTGAATGATGGTTTCCCATTATGCCTGATGCAGAAGTCTGGTGATGAGGATCCTCGAAGGCATCACAATGATGATTTGTATTATCCTTGTAGCAGCTCTAAGCTGGAACTTCCCCTGTGGGCTTTTTCTGGTGTAGATGAGAGAAATCAGGCGAGGGGAGTCAAAGCTAGTGTGCTGTCTGTAGTTAGGCTTAACTCATTGGTCGTAAATGATCAAGTTCAGTCGGTTCCTGATCCCCGTGTAAAAGTTCGTGGTAGGGAAAGCTGCTCTTCAAGGCATGCTCGTCCATCCCCTGCATCTAGTGATTCCAAGTGGGAATCAGTCGAAACTAAATCTCAATCATCTTGCGGTAGTCAAGATTTGCAGGGGTCTTGGAGAACAGGCGCATCTGTTAATACCCCTAGAGATCGTCTGTACACAGTCGATGATTTGCAATTGCATTTGGGTGATTGGTTCTACATGGATGGGGCTGGGCAAGAACAAGGACCTCTGCCATTTTCAGAGCTCCATATATTGATTGATAAAGGCTTAATAAAGAGCCATAGTAGTGTCTTCAGGAAATCTGATAAAATTTGGGTACCTGTTACTTCTATCACAAAAGCTCTTGAAAACAATGCCAAGCTTCAGGGAAAGAAACCAACTCAGCCTTCAAATCGTCAAAGCCTTGTTGTCTCAGAGTCACAGGATTTCAAGCATTCTGAGGACACAAGTCTAAGCTCGTTCCATAGTATGCACCCTCAGTATGTTGGTTATTTCCGTGGGAAACTCCATCAATTGGTTATGAAAACATTCAAGAGTCGGGAGTTTTCTGCTGCCATAAACGATGTTGTAGACTCTTGGATCCATGCAAGACATCCAAAGAAAGAGACTGACAAGTACATGTACCACTCTTCAGGTATGCATGACTGCCAGTCTTTAATGCCATCCCATCCTTTATTAGTTCATGCTTCCTGCTTTCATATGTTTTGAAGATTTATTCACTTCTCTCTTTTGCTTTTGGTTCATAAACCTCAGGATTTGATTCATCCTATTCAAAAAGAGCTCGATTGATGGCTGGTGAAAGTGGGGGCCATTCTGAAGTGGATAATGTGTTTCATAAGGATGAGTTAGCATTTGAGGATTTATGTGGGGACGCTACCTTCCATGTAGAAAGAAGTGGATCTTCTCGCACCGTGGGGATTCACTGGGATCTGTTAGATGGTCATGCGTTAGCTCGGGTGTTTCATTTGTTGAGATATGATGTAAAATCACTTGCATTTGCGTCCATGACCTGTAGAAATTGGAAAACCACTGTTAGTTCATACAAGGAGATTTCAAGACAAGTTGACTTATCTTCTTTGGGTCCAAACTGCACAGATTCTAGGCTCTGGAGTATCATGGTGAGCACTCTATGCTTTCCGTTTACAATATTTGAGCAATTTAGTATTTTCATTGATCTGACATGATATTCTCTTGCAGAACACTTACAACACGCAGAAGATAAACTCTATCATTCTGGTTGGATGTACAAATGTGACTTCCAGTATGCTTGAGGAAATTCTTCGTTTCTTTCCCCATATATCTTCTGTAAACATAACAGGCTGTTCTCAGTTTGGAGATTTGACATTGAGCTATAAAAAAGTAAGTTGGCTCAAATTTCAGCATCCTCGATCAGGTGAATTGCATTCCAAGTTAAGGAGTTTGAAACAGACTACAGATGTTGCTAAGTCTAAGGGCTTAGCAGGCGATACAGATGATTTTGGTAACCTTAAGGATTACTTTGATCGAGTGGAAAAGCGAGATTCAGCCAATCAGTTATTCCGAAGAAGCTTATACAAACGCTCAAAATTGTATGATGCAAGGAAATCCTCAGCAATTCTATCCAGGGATGCTCGTATTCGGCGATGGGCGGTTAAAAAGTCAGAACATGGCTATAAGCGAGTGGAGGAATTCCTTGCTTCAAGCCTTAGGGGCATCATGAAGCAGAATACGTTTGACTTCTTCACTTTAAAGGTGCTTTCTGGTTTTCGTGTATGCTCAATACTATGCCTGCTCTCATTTCTCAACGATCAGTTTAAAGTTGATTCTAATGTATTATTGGTTACTAGGTTGCTCAAATAGAGGAAAAAATGAAAAACGGTTACTACGTTAGTCATGGTTTGAAATCTGTCAAAGAGGATATCAGCCGGATGTGCAGGGAAGCAATTAAGTAAGGCTTCTTTATTCTTTGTCTGGGTGGTTTCTTTAGTTCATTGATTATGCCCATAATACTTCAAAATCCTTCTTACAAGTTATAGATACGTTACTTCTTCGCTATTGAGCTTATGCTTGCCAAACATTATGTTGAATGACTGCTGATGCCCTTTCTTGATTATGTGTTATAATTTCTCAAGTCAATAACCGTTTTCTTCCGATGTGCTTGGTTTTTGGCCCTCAGTTTGTTAGGCTGTAGAGTATTACTTATTCCGGACTTCTATTCCTAGGCTCCTATTTCTTAAGTAGAGGCTAGTCTGTTGTAAAGGAGGTAGGAGCTATTCTGTTACTTACTAGTAGTTTTGTACTTTTCTTCTGATCTTATCTTATGTTTCCAGAGGGAGGAACCGGGGAGGTTCCAAAGACATGAACCGAATCATCGTACCATTTATTCAACTTGCCACACGTTTAGAAGAGGTCTCTATGGTTACTTCTTCATATAAAAGAGATGAATTAATGAAATCCTGGCAAGATGGCTCAGGGTTCCCATCAGCCTCTAAGTACAATAAGAAGTTTAGCAAATCAGTAACTGAAAAGAAGTACATGAGCAGGACTAGTGACACAGTTGGTGTAAATGGTGCGTTGGACTACGGAGAATATGCATCTGACCGAGAAATCAAAAGGCGTTTGTCTAAACTGAATCGTAAATCATTTGGTTCGGGAAGTGAAACATCTTCCGAGCTATCTGACAATGACAGTTATAGCTCAGCCTCAGCTTCAGAAAGTGAATCGGATATCCGTTCAGAAGGTCGATCACAGGACTCACGTGTCGAAAAATACTTCACAGCCGACGAGTCCTTTGATTCTGTGGTCGAAGAGCGAGAATGGGGTGCACGTATGACCAAAGCTGGTCTTGTGCCACCTGTCACTAGGAAATATGAAGTGATTGAAGAGTACACAATTGTCGCCGATGAGGAGGAGGTTGAACGAAAGATGCGGGTTTCTTTGCCAGAAGACTATACTGAGAAGCTTAATGCACAAAAAAATGGTACTGAAGAGTTGGATATGGAACTTCCTGAAGTCAAGGAGTATAAACCAAGAAAGCTTCTTGGCAACGAGGTTTTAGAGCAAGAGGTTTATGGAATCGATCCTTACACTCATAACCTCTTACTTGATTCAATGCCAGAATTGGACTGGTCACTGCAGGATAAACATTCGTTTATAGAAGATGTAGTCTTACGTACCCTGAACAGGCAAGCTAGGTTGTTCACTGGATCTGGGAACACCCCCATGGTATTCCCTTTAAGGCCTGTGATTGAAGAGCTCAAAGAGAATGCTCGTGAAGAGTGTGATATACAAACAATGAGGATGTGTCAAGGCATCTTAAAGGCTATAGAAAGTCGTTCTGATGATAACTATGTGTCTTATCGGAAGGTATAGCTCTGTCGTTCTTTCATTGGAAGTTATCTCTTTATTTAGGACTGTTTTTGTTAATCTGCTTTGATGGTATTTTTTTGTCCAAGTAGGGCCTCGGTGTTGTGTGCAACAAACAAAGTGGTTTTGTAAAAGAAGATTTTGTTGTTGAATTTCTTGGAGAGGTGGGTCCGCAGCTTTTCAGTTTTATGTTTGTCATTTACTCAGCTGCACCATTTCTGAGATTCACTGGGCATGCTGTAAACATTCTCTGAAAGGGAGCTCTGAACGTATGTTTGGATATTGTAGGTTTATCCTGTATGGAAGTGGTTTGAGAAGCAAGATGGAATTCGTTCCTTACAGGAAAACAAAACCGATCCAGCACCAGAGTTTTACAATATATATCTTGAGAGACCAAAGGTATGAAGAAAAAGAAATGCTTGGGCTTGTATTTATTAGTTTACACTATTTTCTTACTTTTTATGTTGCATGGCAGGGTGATGCTGATGGATATGATTTAGTTGTTGTTGATGCCATGCACAAGGCTAATTATGCTAGTCGGATATGTCACTCTTGCCGACCGAACTGTGAAGCTAAGTAAGTTAAGTTCACCCTGACTACAACTGCAATTAGCCATTTCTTCCAGAATTTTGGATTCTGACAGTAGAACCACGTGACCGTTATTATAATTAGTTTCATACATGATGCATGCATAAACTAGGCTGCTTAAGTATACCCAGATCAATAGACACATATATCAATTGTTCATTTACGAAATTTGTCTTGATGCACTTACCAACATTTGCTTATGGTTGTATCTGCTATGCTCATACGCATTTGGTAAATCTCGTTCTTTTACCTATGCATACATGCATTTCGAAAATTGGAGTGGAGAACTCCTGATCCCTGAGTCGCTTGCTGTCTTCCAATGTAATAATAAGTTATAAACGGTTCACTCACCCCACCCTCCTTTGTCATCTGGTGGTGCGTGTAGGGTTACTGCGGTGGATGGACATTACCAGATTGGCATCTATTCAGTACGTCCTATTGAGTATGGCGAAGAGATAACTTTTGATTATAATTCTGTAACTGAGGTCTGTTCTTCCCTCTCTTCATATCCAATTCCTACTGTACGAAAGTATTCATTTGTTGAGTTAAACTTTATGTTTCAAATGTCTAAAGAATGATACTTATGTCTGCAACAGAGTAAGGAAGAATATGAAGCGTCTGTTTGCTTGTGTGGTAGCCAAGTATGCCGAGGCAGCTACTTGAATCTCACCGGTGAAGGTGCATTTCAGAAGGTAATTGTGCTATTAAGATATATATGATTATATAGCTGGTATCAAAGATACGCGAGGTTAATGAAACTGACTCTGTTAATGGAGTTTAAAGGGATAGATTTTTCTGTTTGCTTGTTACTAACGGATAATCAGTTTCTTTGTACCAACGTTTATCTTGTTTTGTCTCTTGATTGTCGATTTAAATTTCTGAATCATGTTTGTAACAACAGGTGTTGAAGGAATGGCATGGTCTGCTGGATAGACACAAGCTGATGCTAGAAGCGTGTATGCTAAATTCAGTTTCAGAAGAAGATTATCTTGAGTTGGGAAGAGCTGGACTGGGAAGTTGTTTGCTTGGTGGGCTGCCAGATTGGGTGATTGCGTATTCTGCTCGTCTGGTTAGTTTTGAATCAGCTCATGTTATCTTATCGCAGAATTATTGATTGGATTACAACTTCTGACAGAAAGTTTCTTGTGCATAAAGGTGCGGTTCATCAATTTCGAGAGAACTAAGCTTCCAGAGGAAATTCTTAAGCATAATATGGAAGAAAAGAGAAAATATTTCTCAGACGTACACCTTGATGTTGAGAAAAGTGATGCTGAGGTTCAGGTCAGATCATCATTCTTTTAAACTTTTTGCTGGTTTTTTCTATAGGTCATGTCTTTTGTGATTTGAAACTCTGCTGGCTTTGGGATGAAGTAAAAGGGGGATTGGTTTATAGTCTGTTATTTTTGATGATACAGGCTGAGGGTGTCTACAATCAGAGGCTTCAGAATTTGGCTGTCACACTTGACAAGGTGACTGGAATCTCTCTTCAGTGTTTTCTTCTTTGCGTTTCACATTTTTTGCGCAAGTGTTTGTGAAATGTTATCCCCAAACGAAGGTAGTCTCTAAAATGTGTTACACACAGGTAAGATATGTTATGAGACGCGTGTATGGGGATCCAAAGAACGCTCCTCCTCCGCTGGAGAGGCTTAATCCTGAAGAAACAGTCTCTTTTTTATGGAACGGGGATGGCTCGTTAGTTGAGGAGATGCTTCAGTGCCTGTCACCTCACGTGGAAGAAGGCATTGTTGATGAACTTAGGTACAAGATTCGTGCCCATGATCCATCTGGATCTGTAGATGTCCTTGAGGAGCTTCAGAGATCATTACTTTGGTTAGTGCATCAATATATTACTTATGCTTGAATCACTCTACTTTTAGTAAACGGTGCACTTATCAATTTTTATTTTTGTTTCTCTATGAAGGTTGAGAGATGAGATCCGAGATCTACCTTGTACATACAAGTGTCGGAATGATGCTGCAGCTGATTTAATACACATATATGCCTATACGAAGTGTTTTTTCAAAGTTCGGGTAAGTTCTTCCGTATAATTTGAGTGACAAAAGAAGGCAAAATCTTGTTGAACTTTTTCTGACTGATGGGTCTTGATATGTCGCAGGAATATAAGTCCTTTGTCTCTTCTCCTGTGCATATTAGCCCTTTAGATCTGGGGGCCAAGTATGCGGATAAGTTAGGTGACAGCATAAAGGAGTACCGGAAAACTTACGGCGAGAACTATTGTCTTGGGCAGCTAATTTACTGGTATGAGCAGACAAATACTGATCCGGATCTCACATTGGTGAAAGCAACCAGAGGCTGCTTGTCTTTGCCCGACGTTGCTTCCTTTTATGCAAAGGCCCAGAAACCATCAAAGCATCGTGTTTATGGCCCAAAGACGGTTAAAACCATGGTTTCACAGATGGTAAGTTCTTACTTGACCCACTTCCAATGTGTACTTCATCTGTCTTCACTATTCATGACATGGCTATTTTCTCTTTTATTCGTATGTGCACAGGTAAAGCAACCTCAAAAACCGTGGGCAAAGGATAAAATATGGATGTTCAAAAGCACCCCGGGAGTATTTGGAAGCCCGATGTTCGATGCTGTCCTCAACGATTCGTCACTAGATAGAGAACTGTTGCAGTGGCTAAGAAGCAGACGGCATGTTTTTCAAGCGACATGGGATAGTTAGGTGAAAGCTAAAAAGAACACCTTTATATTATTCAGAAGGGTTCCCTTTTTTTGGGAAGGGGTTAGAGGCAACATCCAGTTACTAAAAATAGTCTCTTATCGATATGACCAAAGCAACAGCAAGTGCCATACGCAGCAAAGAGGCTCAAGCAGCAGCGCTTTCCCGTCAAATTCTTATTGTATAGCTTTTGCCACACATATATATGATTTTGGAAAATGACAATAACTTTGGGTTAGGACCATTGTTAGATTAGGCTCACATAATTTTCAGAGAAGAGAATCATTTGACTAGTTTGTATCTCTTCTTCTTTTTTTTTGGGTTACCTTAGTAATAATAGCTCTCTTGTTCTTTTGTTCCTAAATCTATACAAGGGTTGGCATCCAAAAAGAAAAAATGAGAGGATAAAGGAATATACATGAATAGAAGGTGTACAAATATACGGTAGATGTATAAAGTACAAAGTGTATAGTTATAATATTGAACAGTTTGGTCTGAAAATTAGCTAACAAAACTTACCGATCAGCATTTTGAACAGCAAGTTTAGCCGCAAGATAAAGAAACAACTAAGAAGATGAACTACTCGTCGTCTGAATCATCGGAACTGTCTTCTCTCCGTTCAGCTATCGCCGGAAACAAACGCCGTTGAACGTTATCTGTCGAAGGTTGATTACTATCCTGCATCACTTGAGTGTCTTTCTTGCCCGAATAATTCGTTGTCTTCGTAGTTGTCGTAGTTTCCTTAACTTGTCGACAAACTTTCTCCAACATTATCAAGAAATCACGAACTATAGCAAACAAACGCAACCCTTCGTTCTTAGCTGACTTGCCATGGAAATAATCAGCAGAACTTTTCACCAAAGCCATGATCCTCTCTTCTTCTTCCTTCAACCACTTTATATCCCCATCTGCACGTTCTATAAACCCAGCTAAAGCTTTCTCGAAGTCACTCTCTTCGTCCATCGACTTTAGAAACTCCCTCGCGTTGGTCAGCGAGCCGCTTAGATTCGCCAGCGTTGCAGCTAATCCATCAGCGTCTATGATTGCTGCCCTCTTGACATCTTCAAGCTCTGTGGTTAGTCCCGAAACCACTTGGAGTCCTGTGCTTCTGTAACGCTCCACTAACTGTGGACTTGTTGTGTCTGTGTTGGTGTCGTCTGTTCTAACGCTCGAGAAGCTTTTGCTTTGGAGGCGGAGAGCACGAACGCCTTCAGAACGAATGATCTCAAGAACAACAAAGTTTAACAGCGTGGTTTTGCCATCAGTTCCTTTGACGTCTGAGAGTTTCAAGAGCGTGTCGAGTTTGAAAGCTTGCGCGTCCCCTCGGAATGTTCCCACATTCATTCTGTTTCCTGTCTTGAGAACTGCTTCTAATAATTTTAGGAACAGTCTGCTGTTTCTTAGTTTCTTGCAAGCCACCTGAGACAGAAAAAAAAAAAAAAAAAGGTTATGTCCTGTCTTGTTTGAAGGGTATTTTTGTGTTTAGTGACTTACCTCGAGAGTTGAGAGTGATTCTTTGATTCCAGAGACTTCTTCTTGAAGTGAGATCATGAATAGAAGCGACTCTATACGTTTGAATGCAAAAGGTATATCAACAAGAATCTTCAAGAATCTCTCTGCAGGGCCAAGTAGGTTAACATCTCCTGAGTACAGTCTGAGTTTGAGTTCTTCTTCCGTTGTCGGAGCCATCTTGAGCAATGTTTGAAGGAGCTCCACCGGAAGCTCATTACCTTCTTTAATGGCATCGACGACTTCTTCTGTTGTCACATTCAATGCTCGGAGAAGAATAGATAAGTTTTGAGCTTTCCTTGGATCAATGATCTGTATGTATTGGACAGGAGAGTCTCTAGATGAGTCTCCTCTTTGACCATTCTTGTTTTTGTTCCCATCATTGTAACCAAACAGTGACTCCATCGCCTCTTCGTTAAACCTAAAACATAGAACGCAGGTTAGGCAAGCCCCGGCCGGAAACAAAAGCTATAGAAGTGTAAAAAGGTCTTTAACTGGAATGAGCCGGCGCTGATCTCATGCCAAACCATTTTCTGATCAGGGTTAGCCATTTTATCCCAGAAAAACGGTTTTAGTTTGGTCTTTGCAGCTCCAGTCTCGGAATCAACATCTGAAGCATCTCCAGATAAACTATGACCTTGGCGCTTTGGAGCAACACCTTTTGGTGGTGCAGGTGGAGGACGGACAAGTTTAGGTGGTGGAGGAGGCTTTGATTTAGGAGGAGGAGGTGGTGGCGGCTGTGGAGGTGGTGGGGCTGGAGCTGGAGCTGGAGCTGGAGGAGAAGCTGCTGATCTTCCCGGGGGAAGCTTTAAGGGAGCAAGTCCAGAAGATGACGATGCTTGAACTGTTGGAAACTGATCATGACTATTTCTCTTGAGAGACAATCTAGAAAGAAACGATTTCTTTTTGGAGCTAGCACTGAAAAATCTCCTGCTTGGGTTTGCAACGGTGGGAGAGGTCTCATTTGATCCTGAAAGAGCAAAACAAGAGTTAGTTTATAGTTCTTGAAAGATAAAAGCATGAACCGTTTTGATAAAACAGACATCATCATTACCAGCTGTTAAATCAACTAGATGTAGAAACTGTCCTTCATCTCTTGCTCCATTTCTAGGACCAGCCGTGTCACCGCGGTTGGGTCTGAAACAACACAGGAAGAGCAATGCAACTAGAAAGAACGTTAATACAGCGGTTGAAGCAACAGCGATGATAAGTTCCTTCAATATATTATATTTCTTCCCCGGGACACTTTGACTAGGAGGAGCAGCACTCGGTTTTCTCTTAACCGGAGCAGAGTTTGATTCATCGGGTGACTCAACCGGCGAATGTGAAGAAGGTTGAGATGGAGAGCTTGAAGGTGCACGGTCATAACTTCTAGAGGCTGGAGAAGGACCTGGTGTAGGAGTAGGACCAAGAGCAAAGTTTGGAGCAGATACTACAAACTTTTTTTTCTTACTGATCAGCTTCCTTCTTGGATAGCTTGTAGTAGAATCAAGGACAGGTCTTAACCAATGCCGATAACCGGTTAAGACGGATCGTTTCACGTACCCATTTGCTATTGCTTCACCAGAGATGTAGACAAAACAATCTTTGTTCTTGTCTTTCAATTTTTTTCTACAATATATCCATGTTTGCTCTGCCTATCAGAAGTGAGATGTTTGTCAGAAAAACAAAACCTAAACCTAAATTAAGATTTGAGCAAACAAAGGAGAATGAATTTACCACATTGACACCATGAGCCTCCTCGGAGAGGTAGGACCGTAAGGGATTGGCACCGTCACGAGAGATGATCTCCACGGAAATACATATAAGAAGAAAGAGAAAGATGGCCAGAAAAGCTCTTCCTCCGTTTCTCATCTCACCGAACGAAAAAGAATTCGATGAGTAAGAAGAACGACTGCGAAATTTGGCGTACTCCCTCGGAAGCAAGCCGCCATGCAGAGAAGCTCCGACCTCGTCCGAACGCTTTTTTACGGCGCCGAACAATCGCTACCACACGCGGATATATTGTCTAAAACAAGAAAAAAACTGAAAATGTAGTTTCTTTCAAAAACGAAAAGAGAAGCTCTGTTTTTAGGAATTTTTTTTTTAAGGTAGTTTTTTTAGATGTTGAAGCTCTGTTGTTAATTTGGCTACCTGTCTTTAACTGTTTTCATTAACATTTTTTTCTCTATATTATATGAAAAATTAAAATTGTACGATTTCATCAAAATGAGAGATTTAACCAATTTTTCAAGGGGAAAATGGAAATAAAGTTTACCAAATAGAAAAGAACTAAAAAAATAGAAAGAAAATACATTATCAAAAATACCACATGCCAGTTGTTTAATAGTCAATGTTCTTAAAATATTAGATATTCATTCAAAAATAAAATAATAAAAATAGAATTTCTACAGATATTAGCCTAAGTCATATAACTTTAACTTCATTGGTAGTATGTCAATCTCATTCTTTTCTTGTAGGTTAAAATTTGTTGGGCATTATTATTGGTTAAGAAATCTATTTCTTATAAATATTTTAAATATAATTATTATTTTTAATTATACGTTAGTTATAGACAAATCAAACTAATCATAAAAGGCTAAATATTCTTAAAAATTGTTTCAATTTTTTCATTACAATTTTCTTATCTTTTTAATATTATTTCTTGTACATAAAGAATATTGATTTCATGACTTATTTTATGAATAATTTTTTTTTTAATTTATACCACTTATAAATCATAGCTTTAAATATGTCTATCATCTATCTTATTAAAGTTGTAGTACTCTTTAGGTTTGTTTGGAAACTTAAATAGTAGTAATAAAGAGTTTAATGTTGTTTGGCTATAAGTTTAAAGGAGTTGGGCTTTTAAACATTGTTATAATAGAATTGGGTTTTTGTTTAATTTATTTTATGTTATGGTTGGCTTTAATCACTTGGCCCATTGTAGTAATTTGTGTTTTTAGTTTATATTTTATATAAAGACCATATTCAATTTTATTTATTGTTGACTAAATTAAAAATAACATCAGTTTTTAAGATAATAACAATTTACATTTCAAATAATTTAATACTCAAATATATTTTGTCTAAAGTATTTTACATTATTCAAATTATCATAAAGACACAAAATATTTGAATAGTTTTAACTAAAATATCAAAATTTTGTTTTCGTAACTGGATATTTATCCGAAACACCTATCCCCCCCCCAAAATCAGTTTTTCCTCGATTAATCTAAAATTAATCCTAGAAATCGTAACCAAACCGTTATCATATTGGAACTAAAAATTTATCTGATATTAGTCGGTTATTATAATTATTACCAAACTCAGCTCAAACCAAAAGAATCGAACCGAACGCAAATCAATTTATATAGATAATAGAACAGATCTTATATCTGTAGAATTAAAAAAACTACGAACATAAAGAATCCAACAAAAGTTGACCCGAAATCAAACCCCAGTCCTATTACATTCAATACGATCATAGTTTTTGAAATACGGTAATAACCGATGACTTATGAATATATTATGCTTTTCTAAATTAAGTTAAACTCGCGCTGGTGCGCGGGTCAAGATCTAGTATAACATTACAATTTATGTCATTCATTTTTAACACAAACTAATAAAAACAATTGACATATTCCAACGTTAAGTGAAACACAAATCTAACAAAAACATTTTCCTATTTTTATTTAACTCGACTTTACTTGTGAATAAAGTTCACTTGTGTCCTTTTTTAATTACAATGAATTGATATCTATTTATTTTTTAAAATCTAATATATTTTTTCAAAAGGATTCTAAAAGATTTTGTTAGAATTCCCTTTAAATTATTTATTTTATTATAAATAAAAGAAAAGATATTGTAATTAAGTTATACTAAAATGTTATTAAGATCTAAATTGAAACATTATTTTCTAAGAATGATCTATTTTTAAAATATTACAAATGAAGAGAAGTTGTGACTTCTGTTTTAATATAATAGATAGATTTAATATAATAGATTTGAAATTTAGGGGTAGCTGCCCCCTACTTATCCGCCCCTGAGGCCTACGCCCTACTTATCCGACAATATAAATCACTACATGGTTCATATGATTAATAATCATACAAAAGGCATGTCAAGAAGCAAGTCACGCTGACATGATCTTGTCTCGAGAGCATTGCCCTTTAGATACAATTGAACAAATATTTTTTTAAAAATGAGACGTTATGTTTTAAGCTCCGATGTCAAGGCAGCCAGACAAACCTGTGTGCGCACAAAAAGAAAAAAGTACACATCAAGGAACACGGAAATAATAAAGGTCCTTTTGTATCCTATAATCAACTCACCTTTGCTCCATGAAGTGAAATAAATTGACGAGAGTTTTGAGAAGAAAGATGCAGAAAAGATAAAAAATGATTTCATTTCATTGATCAAAACACGAGATCAAAGTCTCGAAGAAGAGGAAACAAAACTGAGAAAGCTTCTTATAAGCAGTACGGAACTCCGTGGTCGTGGATTCCTTGTTCAAGCCGAGAACATCATAGAAATCATCATTGTCTTTTTGGATGCTAGCTTCTCTGATTTTAGGGTCTGGTTTTTAGGTGGTTAATTTTGGTTTATCTTTTAAATTTGGTTGTTTTAGGTTTAACAAGATCAATTATTTGTTTTGCTTTAGATCTATAAACAGTAAACCGATAGAAACCAAGTTAAATTGCGTGTGTGGGTTCGGGTTGCGATCTTTTGAATTGAGAAATAATATGTCTGATAACTTCTAACATGTGGAACTAAGATGAGGTTGAAAGATCGTGTGTAATTGTTGATCCACCAGAAGTCCCCATCAAAAGACTGTTCTACATTCCCTCACAGAACGAACAATGATTACACAGTCCACCAACTAATCCTCTTGTTGCAGATAACCTCAACTGATACATAAAATTTTAAAGGGAAAATAGCAACAAAAACTTTCAAGATACTACTCATTACCACTTTAATCCTTGAACTTATTTAGTTAGTATATTAAACATTCAACTTAGGTTTTGTATCATAAAAAACCTTCAACTTGACTTACCTGTTCATCAAGTCAAAAATGTGACCTGGTAACCTGTAATAGTAGGTGATGTGTTGTTTTTTTTTTAAATTTATGTAAATAACAAATGCAATTAACAATAAAATATAAATATAAAAATTAAAAATTACAGAAAAATCAAAGAATGATTTTAATTAAATAAAAAATCTTCTTAAAATTTGATTTTTTTTAAAAAAGCAATTTTTGCAAAACAAAAGAGTCTTTTAAATATAGAAAAATCCAAAAATCTTAATGTTTAAAAAATCATATATTTTCTTGAAAATTAAAAGTGTTTTTATTTTATTTTTGTTATAAATTCAATTTTTTGAAAAATATATATTTTTTTATTTTTTTTAAAAATTATATAAATCTCTAAAATATTATTAAAAAATAAATAATTTTGATATACCACCATTAAAAGTAAGACTTTTCGTCATATCACCACTAATAATAACATTTTGTAAGTTTTAAAGCATTTAATTTTGATATGTTAGCATTTTTGAACGATGATAATTTCTGATACACGGATAACAATGATTTTTGATACTATTGTCATTATCTATGAGAGCTTGAAGATTCTCCATGGGAGTCCAAAAGGAAGATCAAGAGATAGCCTAAGGAGATATTTAAATAGAGAGAAGAATAGGTTTTTGAAAACAAGGAAAATAGAGCGAGATGGACACTTAAACGCCTTGTCAAAGTCTTTATACTCTCATAAAGCGTGGTCAACATACTCAGGCTTTTAAGACAACCAATGTTTAAGTTTGGGCCAATCATCATTTTTAGGGCTTGCTTAACACATCTTGGGCCTTAGAGCAACGAGCCAAGCCCAACACTATTCCAATTTAAGGCAATTTGTAAACAACATGAAAAGAGCCAATAATCAAGAGTCCACCAAGAACACTTAAAATTCACACGTCTAAACATAACATAGAGTAAGACCAGTTATCAAAACAAGAATCATTTTACTTCCTAAAGACTTACCACAACTACATCATAATAGAGCATGTCTCAACATGATACTGCATTTCGCAGCTGAGACGCATTCATACTTATCTTATGTATTGCGTCTTTCCTACAGTTTCTGTTGGTGATAGTATCAGATCATCCAAAAAAATTCCTAAGAGTGATTCTAGTCATCGAAAGTTATTTCACTGTTCCAGAACTAGGGGTTTTCTATTCTTGTTAGATACTGCTTTTCTTAGTCGAGATGCATTCATACCTATCAAATGTTATATTTTATTTTATTTTAGTGTTTCATATGTTGGTTTTCTCTTCAACATGAATGTCAAGCTCTGGAATTCATCACTTACTCATAACTATCTACTAGCTTTATCATACACGTTTTTAGTTCATATGAGGCATTACAAGTAGTAGTGAATCTCTTTCTATAGAATTAACTTGATCTCAGTCCAAACATCGATCACAACCAGGTATAAACTATTGTAGCAGCCTAACCTGGTAGGCTTGCTTATCTTTATGAGACTGATTATATCAATACTGGAAAAACTATAGTAGGTTGACACTTCCTAGAAGTTTAGACATACACTGATTACAATCATAGGATATTAGTCATTTAGAAGACAATCATCTAAGCCTTATTACTCTCTATCGTTTGCAGATCCCCAAAGCTTTTCACAAATGCAGAAAGCTATTAAGGTCAAGGGGTTTAGTGAATATATCAGCTAGCTGTTCCTCATATGGTACATGCCTATTGATTGCAAGTTTCTCCTTAACTAGTTCTCTAACAAAATGATGCCTGATGTCAACATGTTTGGTTCTAGAGTGCTGAACATGATTTTTAGATATGTTTATTGCACTTTAGTTATCATAATGCACAAGAAAAGAGAGAGTGTTGATACCATAGTCATTAAGCATGTGCCACATCCATAAAAGTTGAGTGCAGGAACTTCCAAGAGTAATGTTTTCCATTTCAGCAGTCGACAAGG